TTAAAGGAGCACTGACATCAAATTTACTCATGCCAAGATTTTTGCATCAGCGAGTAGCTATAGACCCCGTAGCAGCAATTTGCGACCTAAAACGCAACTGAGGGATGAATAACTATCAATTTTATTGATTTGTATCACTGGCATTCAGCAGTTTTCAAAACGGCCGGCAATCCCGCCATTTTTAGCGCTGGGCGCACCAGCAGTGGCGCTATCTTGTGGTCACCACAGTACACCTACCAGCCATATATTTTGTCATCCATTGATGTCACGTAACAACAAACTTGGTATATGCAGAGCTAGCAAAACGGCCGCGAGCGCATCATGAAGGGCCCAATTATATTCTCCTATGTAACGTTGACGCACGCGCTTGCTGTGTACAGCGACGTTGCGTTAGCAAAACGTGAGCACTCTATAGTCTGACGCCAGGCGTGATCAGCGTCCGTCACCGTGACCCGACGGCAACCGGTGCGAATTTCGCGCCAAGGATGCATAACCAGACAACACTGCGTCTTCCTATTTTTGTGAAAGAAGGACGCAGGACGCGCTGAAAGGTGCATGCGTCAGAGCAACGCAGCGCGGAGCACGCCTGCGAATATATGGCAGGACTGGTGGCTGGCGTGGCAACGCCGGCGTCACGCGACAAAATGAACGCTGGAGAGCACGCGCACCACGTCACATCGAATTTCCGCCTTGACTGTGGCTTGTAGTTATGTTAATTCTCACATGACACGCATCTCATGATTATCATGTTTGCACCAGTCGCATACCTTCGTCATCCATTGACGTCACGTTATACCAAATTCGGCATATGTGAAGCTAGCGATACGGACGCTAGCGCATCATGAGTGGGGCATGTAGTCATGTTGTTACATGACACGCATATCTTGATTATTATGTTTGGATGTGTCATTTACCTATGTCGTCCGTTCGCGTCGCGTAGTACCGAGTTTGGTACATGTGAAGCTAGTGAAACGGCTGTGAGCGCATCGTGAGCGTAACATGTAGTCATGTTGTTACAAGACACGCACTCATGTTTATGATGTTTGCACAAGTATCATACCTTCGTCATCCATTCACGTCCCGTAGTACCAAATTTGGTATAAAAGAACCTAGCGAAACGGCCACCAGTTCATCACGAGCGTGGCATGTAGTCATGTTGTTACATGGCACGCATCTAATGATTATCATGTTTGCACCAGTCGCATATCTTCATCAACCATTAACGTACCGTGATATCAAATTTGGTATATATGACTCTAGTGAAATGGCCGCGAGCGCATCATGTGCGTGGCATGTAGTCATGTTGTTACAGGACACGCATGTCATGATTTTCATGTTAGGGTCTGTCGCTTGTGTTCGCCATGCAATCATGTCATATCGTACCAGTTTTGCAACATGCCATGTGAACGAAACCACCGCAAGAGCTGCTGGACTATAAAATGTAAATCATGATATTCATGACATCCATGACATGATTTCCGTGTTATGACTAGTCAGATATGTTCTTCATACAGTCATGTCATGTCATACCAAGGTTGGTATCAATATCATTATCGAAACGGCCAGGAGAGCTAAATTTCGTAGGTGGCTAGATAGATAGATAGATAGATAGATAGATAGATAGATAGATAGATAGATAGATAGATAGATAGATAGATAGATAGATAGATAGATAGACACGCTCAATGTTGCCGAAGTTCGCTAAAAATGCTTCGCATTTAATAGCTTTCAGGCCACGGATGCCGTTCAAATTTGGCCAAGAAGACCTAAGCCCACCAAACGATCAGATGATGGGCACATCTCGATCTTGAAATTTAATGTCAGTGCTCCTTTTAGCGGCTATTGCATGGATGAATGCTGCTCCATACAGCCACTGCAGTAACGGGACGTGTAGTTGAAAGCATTGAGGCTTTTAGGAGCGAAGCTCCTTAAGGCGTGGGCTGTGCGTCCCCTGTATGTAGCCACCTCTCGTTCAGTTCTAAGTATTACGCTAGCCACCGCTCGATCTAAAGGGTACAGCCATATCCATCCGTCCATCCATCCATCCATCCATCCATCCATCCATCCATCCATCCATCCATCCATCCGTCCGTCCGTCCATCCGTCCGTCCGTCCATCCGTCCGTCCATCCATCCGTCCATCCATCCATCCATCCGTCCGTCAGTCCATCCATCCGTCCGTCCGTCCGTCCGTCCGTCCGTCCGTCCAAAAGATGCAAGATGTTATAAACTAGACGGCGGTACGTGTAGTTGATTATGAAAGATGCGAGGTGTTATAAAATAGGAATGATGCCACATATGGCGCGTGTCATCGTTCGATATAGTGCGGCGACGTACGCTAGGGGAGCGTTGCAATAAAATCGAGTGGGCAAAATGTACGGAGGATTCATGGTTTACCAGGTTTACCTCCGGAGCTTCGCCCACTCATCATCATTCACTTCGTGGATATGGCGGCATTTTTTTTAATTTGCTTGCTAATCGATATGCTATTTCGCAACTGTAGCAATAATATCTTCACTCTCGCCAATTGAGCCCCACTGTGCAGACACAAACAATGCCTCATTTTTGCTATTCTTTCTTTTCGCATATAAGTGGGTCTAATTGTAACTATAACCTATTAAATGCGAATCATTTCTTAGAGAACTTCGGCGAGTTAAGCGTATCTATCTATCTAGAAATGGACATGGGCTGGGCATGTAGCGCGTAGACAGGATAACCGCTGGTCGTTAAGGGTAACTAACTGGATTCCCAGAGAAGGCAAGCGGGTTAGGGGGAGACAGAAGGCTAGGTGGGCAGATGAGATTAAGAAGTTTGCGGGTATAAATTGGCAGCAGCAAGCACAGGACCGGGTTAACTGGCGGAACATGGGAGAGGCCTTTGTCCTGCAGTGGACGTAGTCAGGCTGATGATGATGATGATCTATCTAGCCACTTATGTTTGGGTGCTCTCGTGGGCACCCTCATAACTTGGCGTATATACCAAAATTAGCATGGGAGAATAAGATGATTTGACGAACATGACGCGCTAGTCAAGACATGAATAATGTCACCATCCCGTCGTGTAAGTCGTCAAACACCTTCCGCCAGACAGTGGCACATACCCACGGGGGGGGGGGGGTATGTGCCACTGCTATGCGGGTATGTGCCACATGTGATTGGCCCTTAGTATGTATACACAGGAACGACGAGAACACACGCGAGCAATTGTAACACGCAAGCGTTAAGAAATACCCGAGATCGGTAGCGTCTACCCGACGAATGTAGAAATAATGCTAGGGTCCCATTTGGAATCAAACCCAAGCATTCTGCGTGACAGTGAAGCATTTTACCACAGAGCTACGCCATATCTTACAACTTCTTTTCAAATAGACACTAATCTTCATGAAACGTCAATAGTGGCTGCAGTGCTGCCTACCCAATTTTTGAACATATTACATATGTGCTATTTTGAAACTGTCGTCACGTCGGGTTAACGTCAATTGTGGTTAGTTGCCATCCGCTCAAGTTGGTTTCAGCGCTTCATATCAGCTTCTGGTGTTGCCAATACACATGTTCTAGTAACAGCATTGCGCAAGTGACGACAACCGATTATGTAAACATCTGCAACTCTTGAACATATGTATGTGCATTAAATGTACATATATTAGCGTCACTTTAGGACGTGTCGTTCAAAAAAAAAAATTGCAACACGGTTACCTTTCCTCCGCATGCTTCGCATAACGTCGACTCCCAGGTACATGGGGATCTGCCAAACTTTTGATGCTTTTTTTCGCGAATCATTCATGGGCGGAATTACCTGGCTTTGTGATACATGTATCGCATCGTGATCTTAACAAACTTTTCAATTACAATTAATTACAGACGTAGATCACAGAAGGTTTTCAAGGCCGGTTGGCGCGTAGGCGAATGTAGTACTTACAGATCCATAATAAATAATATATATGCATGGTTACATAAGAAGTAATACACAACCTGCGAGTACACATGTTTTCACTACTTCGTAGAATTAAACTGCTCCAGTTCTTCAGCAGCGTGAATACAACAGTACACGAAGAAATACTCGACGGCATCATGGCCTGACGAAACCATTTTATTTGCACAACCCCATGTGTATACGTATGCGCAAATCGTTGCTATATCACAATATTGAGTAAAAATGCAGAAATTGTCACTCGTGGTGAAAGATAAAAAGATGCAAAAAACGCGAATAAACATATGCTAATCGAGCACAAGATGAAAAGAAAAGAGATATTAAAGGAGTACTGAATGTTAATCAAAGGATGATGGCGCAGAGTTTTTCAAAGCACTGGGGTTTAGAAACAGTGAGGGCAAAATAGACTTCAACTGGTAGACTTAACTAGAAGGAGGTTATCTGATTGGTGGCTAAAGTCAAGGCACAAGTGAAAATTAAACCCTTCACTGCAAAGTACGAATCCTCAACCTCTTTATTAAAAAAAAAAGATAAATCTAATGGTTAGTTCACTAAGTATTACGGCTAGGTAGCGATAGCCGCCGCTCAATCTAAAGGGTACAGCCACATCCATTCATCCATCCATCCATCTGCGACCGTGTGCGTCTTTTCTATATTCTCCTTACTTCCATATGTGGTTGTGCCTGCACCTCGCTCTATCTCTCTGTCTTTTAATCCTATCCTTTGAATCCACGGAGGAAGTGTTTGAATCCCTCCTTACCCCCATCCCTCGTGAGTTACTTGTAAAGTGTCCTCCTTCTAAAATACAGTTACGGGGCTCACTTTGATCTTTTCATTTAAGAATCACTTCCCCCTCCCAACGCACGTGGCTCAACGCCATGTTCAGCGCAGTATCAAGAAACGCAGTGGATAAGAGAAAACCAAGCTTCATTTTCTTGATGTTTAGCCAAATACAGTACGCATGATGAATGAGCCTTGAACGCGGTGTACCAACAGAGGCAGTATTTAAACATGCGCGCTATGGTTGTCGCCGTTTGAAGGACCCGCATCATTGATCGTAGCTTTGACGTCACCACCAAGGTCACGTGACGCGTTATCCCATGTGACCAACGGGGAGGCGTCGTTTCATCGTAGAAGTAAACTTCGGAGCAAGAGTCAACACACGACGTATGTATTTGTTATTTGCCGTTAGTTTTCAGTTCGTCAGTAGTGTATTAGAAAAAACGAACGACAGCCTTCACGTGCATTTGGTGCGCGATTAGATATAATTGCAACGAGCTCTTCGAGGTGTGGGTAGAAGACCAACGTCAAATCAATCGGAACCGGTGCAGCTGACAGCTCTATTTTGGAGCTTGGTTTGCGCCTTGCTGCTCTGTGGTGCATGTTTTGCGTATCGAATGCGTCGCTGGCGAGTTCGTTCGTTTATACGTCGCCCTCAAATTATGCTCTTTTTGTTTCCGCAGAAATACTCAGTTTATGCACCGGACGTTCTATGTATCGCTTCAAGAGCTCCAAGTACAAAAATGCCACACCTAAGGTGCCAAAGAAAGGCGAGGTGAGTGCTTCCACGTTCGGCTTTTGCCATGGTTTCGTAACGGCGCGTCAACACCGCGCGGCCGGCTTTGCATTTCAGGGCTGGGTCCTGGACATATCTGTCGGCGCACCGCAGTCATTCGGCAACCACATAAAGGCCAGCGCTTTGCACAAGGTCTTCAGTGTTGACAACCGAGGTTGGTCACAAATGGTGAGAATTTCCCCGCTTCTCATGATTGACGACGTTATGCAGGAGGTGGAAGCCTGGGCGTCTTGCCGCTGGATGACACGGGAAAAAAGAGCAGGAACTGCCCGTTACTTCATGCACATTCCGGTTGGTACCTTGTTCCCTGATGAAAATTTTGCTACAGGTTTCTGCTGGTCCCAGTTCTGGTGGTTTATTAGCCAGTGGTTGCTGGCACCACAGGGCGCCCGCAACCATTACAAATTAAGTAGACATTCAGTAAATATCAACTATAAGATATCCAGTATGTATTTGTCCGTTTTAGGTTGTTCACAGCAGTTACGCACATTACATTGATGTAATATCAAATGGTCCATATTTTTATTGTGAGGATGCACTACCAGATCTGTCTCAACCATTATCAGATTTGCAGTGTGTGTTATGACTAGCATCTTGTGCTTTCAAAGAACTAGACCTTTATTGAGCGATATCGCCGCCGAGGCATGGTCCGACGGAGACAAATGGGCACGTTAGTGTCAGAGTGCTGTGAGGAATGTCACGCTAGGCCGAGAACCAGGAGGGAACTGTTTATTCAGAGAGCGCACATTGTCACATGACAATGGTTACCAATATAGCTGTTGTGTGGCACCATGCGACACATCCCATTGAAACTGAAAGTGATCTAAGGTCCATGAAATGCCAGACACCACATCATCTCCCCCTAAAAAGGAAAGGAGATGTAAATTATTGCATACTTGTACAACAGAACGCAAGTTATACAAAACTAGCACCACAGTATGCAATCACAGTTGTTTAGAACATTATACAGCAGCAAGGCACTGAAATAATGACATACAGTAACATGTGTAAGATGTACTGGTAAAAATGCCATAAATCTTTGGTGTACATGACAATTTGGCATAACAGTTAAAAATATTTTGCAGAAAATTGTAAAATAAAACATTATACAGTAGTAATCACATGAAATGTAGGAGTGTGCTCAACAAACATAATCCTTGTAACGCACCGTTTTTTGCGGTGTCGCTAGGGACAATGGCATGCAGGAGAATGACGTAAAGTATTCATCAATAGAGCCTTATCTATTTCAGAAGACTTTGAGCCTTGGGGCTCACCTACAGGGTCATCGTCGGAGAGCGGTAGCGATTCTGGAATGTCCGTACATGACACACCCGTTCCTGAGACATCTTTCCCCCCTTCGAAACAGTCTGCACTGGGGCTGGGCACATCAGCCGTTTCTTGTGAAGGGGCCTGTAAGGTGGTTTGTGGAAGTGTCACTAACTTGAGCATTGCAGAAGAACGTGGAGGTGGGGAGTAAATCTGTTGCATGAATGAAGAGTTAGCAGAGGAAGTGAATTATGCTTTAAAGTTGAGTTTTGCTCTGCATGAATCAGTACGAGCTTTGAAGCATTCCATACATTGTCATCACTTGGGCGGAATGAATTCAGTTGAAGTTGTCTAATAATTGTATATGGACCTTTGTACTTAATCTGCTTGTCTGGAAGACAAACTTTAACCCTGGGGCCCACCTGTAACTTGGGAGGTTTAGCTCTGCGCTTAAAGGGCCCGTAAACCACCCAGGGTTCAAAATTCAGTTGTGGAAAAATTGTGCACAGCCGTACGATAACAAGGAGTCGTAAGGTCATTTCGAAACAGTGCAATAATAGAGGAGTTCAACACATATTATCAGAACGGTGACGACCACACCTTTCACTCTCTACTGCACTTCCTTCCCTAGTATCCTCTCCCATGCCGCTCCCAATCTCACGTGGCATACGTCATCGCTGACGTGCTGTTTGAAACGCAGTCTACTTCCGGTTGCCGCGATTCCGTCAGTTGCGTGCTTGAACCGTGGCTGCCATAATTGTTCCGGTATGGAACCTGCATTGTGGGCATGCCTTTGAAGGATTGCCAGTGCGATGGACCCGTCCGGGGACACGCCCTGCTCTGCATGTGTTACATGCATGCGGGCAATGCGACGAACAACAAGCAGCGCGGGCAGCTGATTGCAGACTGACCAGAAGTCGTAGGCTCTTGCTCGAACACTCACAGCATATAGAGATGTCGCACAGAGCGTCGCGTGGAGGCCTGAAAGGCCCTGCAAGAAGGAGGGATTGTTTCTTGGAATTTGTGGTGCGCCGGCGGCTCGTAGCGCTGCCACGTGCGGAATTGTTGATCGCGACATTCTGCACAGGATGCGCGCATTTACTTGAAATGCTTGAAAAAATATCAGAGGTGGCTTACGAGCCCTTTAAATCAATGTGTTGCTTAGTTTCCTGTTGCTTATTGAATACTCGTGTTCTCACAGGATCCAACGTTGGCAAAGGAGCAGAAGACTTTGGGTGTAACCCTGCAATGACAATTGCAGAACGCACATGGCGATTATGCAAAAGTTGTACAGACGAAAAGCCTGTAGTTGCTTGAGGTGAAAAGCGATACGTGCCTAAGAACTCTGTAACAGCATGTTTCAGTGGGCGGCATTCAAGTTGAGTGAGCGGAACTCGCTCTTTCAGAACTGTGTTGAAACGTTCAACTTTGCCTTGTAGATAGTAGTTTGATGAGCAAAGATGCTGAATGCCTCTTTCTGAGAGGAAAGTTTCAAATAGTTGCCACCTGAACTGAGGACCGCTGTCCGTAGCGATTGCTTCAGGGAAGCCTTCCCTACTGAAAAGTGCTGTCAAGAATGTAATTACCGTTTCGGAAGTGACTGCATAAGTAAAAAAAATATCCGACCACTTAGAGTGGTAGTCAATGAATGTAATTGCAAATCTGCAGTTGTATGGAGCACGTTCGAGTGGACAGACAATGTCTATACCTAGCTTTTCCCACGGTTTGCTTGGCCACGGGAAAGGCTGGAGAGGTTCAAAAAGAGGTTTAGCAGATTTATCAGCGGTTGGACATACAATGCAGTTGGGAACTGCACGTTCAACTGGACTATTCAAGCCAAACCACCTGAACCTTTCTCTAAACCGTTGCTTCGTCCTGACAATGCTTGGGTGGCTTTCACGAGCCAATTGCACAAGTCTGTCACACATTGGTGTAGGAACGGTGAGTCTTATCTGCACAGGAAACTAAGTTTTTACACAAGACAGCTCAAGTCTGACTGCAAAGTAGGGCAGTAATTCTGGTGGCAATGATTTCTTATCTGGCCAGCCATTAGCAATGAATGTAAGCACATGTTGTAATGTAGCATCTCCGGCAGTTGCTGCCTTTGCATCAGCTTTACTTATGCAAGGAGTAACGAGAGAGATTATTTCGTCTTTTAGTTCTGGACAGACTGGAAGCTGTAAAGGTAAACAAGAAAGTGAATCTGCCGCAATGTTATGTGAACCCTTGGAGTACTATACAGTGAAGTTGTAGTATAACAGTCCAGCACACCAGTGTGAAATGCATAATGGGCGTCGGCCCTCTGATCCAGCAGAAAGTAACGTAACAAGAGCTTGGTGATCAGTGCGTAATGTAAAATGTCTACCCCATAAGTGCACATGCCATTTCTCACAAGCAAAGAGGCAGGCTAGGGCTTCACGCTCACCAGCAGAGTATCTGCGTTCAGCAGGAGACAAAGCTCTCGAAGCAAAAGCAATTGTGATTAACTGGTCACCTTTGAGTATCTGCGTTCAGCAGGAGACAAAGCTCTCGAAGCAAAAGCAATTGTGATTAACTGGTCACCTTTGAGTTGTTGAAACACTGCACCCAATCCTATGTTGGAACCATCAGTTGTAATGACTATTGGAAGCTTCTCGTCAAAGACTTGAATGAATGGGTTGGCAGCTAGTATTTCTTTGATATTGTTGAAAGCCGAATTAGCTTCCTTGGATCAATTGAATGTTTGGCCTTTACACAACATGGGACAGAGTGGTTCAACATCATCATCATAATGGGGAATGAACTTTGAGTAATAGCCAGCGAGACCAAGAAATAAATACAAGGTCTTAGAATATGCAGGTACAGGTGCATTAACAATAGCATGCACTTTTGATTAAAAAGGAGACAATCCTCTGGCACTGACATTGTCCTAAAAATTAAATTTGCTCGATGGCAAGGACACATTTGTCGTTCAGTTTGATTCCTGTGTTGCTTATGTGTCTTAGTACAATTTGTAAATTAGCATCATGCTTAGCACACATTCGACCCCAGACCAAAATGTCATCTAAGTAGCACAGTACTCCAGAGCAATTTTTCAAAATGTCTGACATCATTTTCTGAAAAACAGCAGGGGCAGATCCAAGCCCAAAGCAATCTCTACGGAATCTGAATAAACCATGATGTGTGACAAAAGTAGTTAAGTCTCTACTTGATTCTGACAAGTTAACCTGATGGTACGCTGATGCAAGATCTAGCTTTGAAAAGTAAACAGCATTTGTACGTTGCTGGAGAAGTTCTTTCATGTGAGGCAGGGGAAACCTATCAACCACGATAGCTTTGTTTGGTTCACGCAAGTCCACACAAAGTCTTAAGGAACCGTTTTTTATCTTCCCCACGACCAGTGGAGAGACTGAATCTTATGCTGAAACTCTTTCGATGACTCCTGTTTTGTTCAAGACGAGAAAGTTCATCGGAGACTTGTTGTCGAAGCAGGAATGGCAATCTGCAAAGTTTGGCAGCGACTGGCGGCACACCTAGATGACGTTTCACTTCGTGCATATAGCCTTTCACCAGTTCGAGTTCCTCGGTGAAGAGGTGATAAAATTCAGAAAGAGCATTCTCGGGAATTTTCGAAGTTTCTGAACCTGAAACTTGTGAGCAGGACAATGTTGCACCTTCGATGGTTATGAGGAGGCTTTGAATGGCATCTAATCCAAGAAATGAAGAACCCTCTTTCGTCGCGTAAAATGTGACAGCAGCAGTGGTATCATTGTACCGAACGTTTGTAGAGAGATATCTGAGGTTGGGAATGCATTTCTTCGAATAGTCCTAAGGAACAACGTACGAGTCAAGCAGTCTGGTCCTCAAAAAGTACTTCCTGAAATATTGTAAGTTAATGATACGGTCGCACCAATGTCAATGAGGAATGTTAACTTGACCAACTTGAACAGTAATTTTCAGTGGCGAAGGACGGCTGGAGCGTTCATCAATGTTTAGAATTGTAATTGTGTTTGTTACTGAAGTATCTCATACTTAACTATCTCATA